TCTGTGCTCTTTCTTACAGACTAGACGTGGAAAGTGCTGGGAATCTCGAGGACCTTAGAATGAATATTTCTATGTTGCTATGCTAGAAATGTGGACTAGTCATCTAATTTCTGAAAAGAGAGTGTTTTGTGATTTTAAATGCCCACACAGGCCTGGGGATGTAGCTCAGTGGTAAAGTGCTTGCCGAGTTTGCATACAGGGTCCTGGGTTTGATCTCCAACACCACAAACAAAAAATAAAATGCCAAGGTAATGAATTAATACCTCAGACTGAGCAGAAAAATTCTGTGGTCCTTGGAATTATTATTTAATGATGGGAAAGAGTTTTCCTGGTGGAATAAATTTTGAAGGAGCAGTGGGTGGATAAAATAAAGTTGCTTAGCTGGGTACAGTGGTGCACACATGTAATCCCAGTGACTCAGGAGGCTTAGACAGGAGGGTTGCAAGTTCCAGGTCAGCCTAGGCAATTTAATGAGAACCTGTCTCAAAATGAGAATTTTAAAAGGGAATCGGGATGCAGCTTAGTGGGAGAGGATTCCTGGGTTCAATTACCAATATCACAAAACTAATAAATAAGTAAATAAAGTTGCTTTTTTAAAAATCACATTTCAGGGCTGGGGTTGTGGCTCAGTGGTAGAGCACTCGCCTAGCATGTGCGAGGCCCTGGGTTCAATTCTCATCACCACATAAAAATAAATAAATAAAATAAAGGTATTGTGTCCATCTACAACTAAAAAATAAATTTTAAAAAAATCACATTTCATGAGCAGTACTGGTCTAAGGAGCAGATTTGATGGTTAATGGTAAACAACAGACCCTACAGGACCAGTCTAATCTGCAAGGTCCCATGCCTTGGGCCTGTTGGAAGCAGAGGCAACTGGGAGATATGGGGCAAGCCCAACAGACTCCATGGTAGAGGTTGCTTAAACAGACTCCTGGATTGAGGGAAGAGTTGAATTTACAAATGCATCTTTTCATAAACGATACATTTGCAGACAAAGTAATTGCCTGTGGGACAGATTCCCACTCCCATTTGTAGTCTGTGCAACATCTTCTCCCAACCCCTCCCATGACTCACAAAGGGTGGGAATTTCTCCCCAGAGTCTTGAGAAGCCCTTAATGAAATCAACCACACTAACCAAATTTCAACCTGTGATATTTCCAAAGGAATTAGTATGAGACAGAGATGTGCCTGTAGGCAGATACTAGTTCCAGTTCAGAGAATTTGGGCCAGTGGGAAGAATCCAGCTCTTTGGGGATCTTGATTAAAGATATTGAAGATATAAACTTGAATTAAGGTCCAACATTCTTATACATTCTATACATTCTGCCAGGTTCCTTGCAGCTCCAGACATCTTTCATTCTGTGTCCTTTTTGCAGCACCATCTGAGTCAACACATTTTTTTTTGCCACTCTCCAGGCAGTGAGAGGTTTGCAGTGTGTGTGTGTGTGTGTGTGTGTGTGTCCATTCTGTTGTTCTGTGAGCCACCAGAGCTACCACCACAGGCTGCAGCTGGTGTTGATGGCGCAGAAGCGTTGAGTCACTGGCTGTTCAGCGACCCTTACATCACGTTCCATTGTCCTTTCTTCCTTTCTGGGCTTCTGAGGGCTTGTTCAGTGTTTTTGTTTTGTTTTGTTTTTGCCTGGGGCATATCCCTATTAGGAAATCAGGGTGTTAAAATCAAGAGGCTGCTGGGGCTCCGGAACAAAGCCATCCAAAGGGACAGGGGTCCCTGCGGTTTCTGAGAACACCCAGCAACCCAGACACAGGCGCTGGAGACAATTTGGGCGTGGGGCCCCAGGGTGGGCTCCAGCTCACATTTTTCTGCAGCTCTTCCTGCTGTGCCGGTTTCAACTGGAGCTGATGAGTTTAACCATCTCTTTATACATGCCGAATTCAACCTTCTGCAAGCCGGTTTTAGCACAAATGTAACAGGTGGTGCTAATTATCTGTGCGACATAAATTCTTAGAAAAGTAGTCTCTGGAGGCGGCTATATAAATTTGTTTAAATGACTGTTTGACCCAACAAGCTTGTCCCTTCATTAAATTTTTTTTTTGTTTTAAAAATTACCTATTTATTATGTAAAAATGGGGGGGGGGGAACATAAAAGATGAAATGAAAATTATATAGTTATTTGGAAGGCTGAGGCAGGAGGATTGTCTGAGTCCTGAAGTTCAGGGTCAGCCTGGGCAACATAGTACGATCTTGTGTCCAAAAAATATAAAAATAAAATATATATATATTTGTAATCCAGGGACTGCAGGTATAGCTCAGTAATAGAGTACATGCTTAGCATGAGCCAGCAACCCATCTCAACAAAAAAGATCTATAACCCATCACCCAGGGACAATCTTCTAATATTTTTTTCTGTATATCTATTGATATGTACATACATTTTAGATCATTTAGCCCACATCGTACATTTTATTTAAACTGAGAAATATGCTGTGATATACTCTATTATCATTAAGCCATATTCTAGAAGTGCTACAAGTTAGTGCATATGAACAGAGATACAGCTCTAACTGAATTTTGGATTCTTTCATGTGCTATCATTTCATTTTTCTTTCTCAGACCTTTTTCTTGTCAGAATAGCCTCATCCACAAATAACATCCCTTCCTCTCACCTCTGCAAGGTAGCTAAAGCTTCTTTGGCCTTCTGAGAACCCCTAGGGTACTTCTATCTGGGTCAGTGCTTCTGAGACTTGAAGGTATCAAAATTCTCTGGAAGGCTTGTCAAGAAAGTTTGCTGGGCCTCATCCTTAAGAGTTTCAGATTCAGCAGGGCTGGGGTGGTGGGTAATAAGCCAGTTCCAGGGTAATGTTACTTATGTTACTTTGCTACTGAGAACCACTGTTGCGGGAGAATGAATGAACAATGTTTCTTTTCCTTTATTACATTTATCTTGTCCCCAAAGTTGTATCTTTTAACCACTACCTATTCTGTCTGGTATCACCCATACATCCAGAGGACAGAAATATTTTCATCTGTCTGCTCAGTAGTAGAGCACTTGCGTAGCAGGCTCAAGGCACCGAGTTCAATCCCCAGAACCCCAAGAAAATTTTAAGAAAAAAGAAAAATTCCTTTCTTAATGAGGGGTTGAAATTCAAAATCCAATGGGTTTGAGGAGGCCCCCAGTACCTATGAGAGTAGAGCCAGGGTGATTTGTCCTTCACTGTCACTGCATCACATTCTCCTAAAGAGCTGGCTCAAAAGGAAATGCACAGATGCCCAGACTATTTGTTAAAGGAAATGACACATTATCCTCTTCCCAACATCTGGTAATTCCTGAAAGACAGTCAAGCCCTGATAATACTGTTGGCTCATTAGAAGCCTGTGTCTTCTTTCCCGAGGGAGGTGGGGGCCAACCAAGGAGGACAGAGACTATTTTTGGTGCGAGACAGAGGGGACGCCTTGAGGAGAGGGGCGAAGGGTCACCGGCAATGCAATTCTATTCCTTGAGCCAGGAAAACAAGCTTCCTTCCTGTCCAGCCCTGAGCAACAGTCCCTTTCTTAAGTTTCATATCTTTCACAGAAAGCTGAAAAGATTTAAACAAACCCTCATGGGCTAGAATAGTTGGACACCAGTAGATGGACAATTCAATGGGGAAGGAGATTTGCCAGGGCCCTAGGTATGGCAGCAAAGGTGAGATGTCTGGGTCTAGGTGAGTGGTCGTCACAGTGTGCAGTAGTGCCACAGAGGGAGCTGGTGGCATCTGGCTACCCCTTGGCTGGGAAAGACATTTTTTTTTTTCAGTGCTGGAGAACCCCAGAGTCTCATGCATGCTAGGCAAGTGCTTTATTACTGAAATACATGCCTGGCCCCAATACATATCTTTTTCCAGCCCTCCGACATCCTCTGGGGTTTAAGTGAAATGTGGAGAAAGAATAGGAGAGGTGTGAGCAGGATGCCTGGCTAATGAGACCAGAAGGCTTGCCTAGGTTAACTGACTTGGTACAGGTGAGAAGTAACACCCTGAAACTACCTGGAGATCCAAGGCATGGGTGTCTCTTAACTGGCCCCATCCAGCATCTAGAGCAATGGAGAAAGTTAAGCTGAGGTCTGGGAAAAGAAAGTCTTGTTCTCATTAAATTAGCAGAAGGCCCCCTGCACTGGGGAGGGAACCAGGAGGGGGTAGAGTGGGCACATCTGCCTTCAGATCTAAGGGCATTTTTTTGTGCCAGGCCTTTGTACTGTTCCAGCCAGGGCACTCTGGTGAAAGCATCCTGGGAATTCGGCCTGCAAACAGAAAGGGCATTTCCTTGTGTGGGTTTCCTGTTTAGGTCTGTGTAGAAACCCAAAGGATCGCTTGGCCTCATAAATCCTCTAGACATTACTGGTGTAGATGCTCTGGCGGGATGCCATGGGAAAATTGCACAAAAATAGAAGAAGGGAGGGAAGCACATTCACTCTCAGGATCCTGGGTGGGTTTCAGGCTCCCTGTTTTCAGATCTGTAAACAGAGGGGGTTGGGCTAGAGGAGATGACCATTCAGGTCCCCTCCAGCTTTGACATTCTCAGGTTCCGTTTCTCTCTCAAGGGTTACTGTGCAGCTCAATAATGGGAGGCAGCTGAGCAGTTCACCAAACAGAAGCACCAAGAAAGTTTCAACTGAAACATTAGGAAGTTGCCCTAGAATGTCTTTTAGACTCCTTCACAGAAAGAAGGTACGTTTGAACTCTGGTATTTCCCAGACTTTCCTAAACATTTAGAATATTCCACAATAGAAAGCTAACAGGTTTAGGAGTTTTGTGGATTTTTTTTCTCCCAGTAATGGGGATAGAACCCAGGGTTGCTATAGCACTGAGCTACACCTCCAGCACCCCCCTACCCTTTTTAAATTTTTTAAAAGATGTTGATGGACCTTTATTTTATTCATTTATTTCTATGTGGTGCTGAGAATCAAACCCAGTGCCTCACACATGCTAGGCAAGTGTTCTACCACTGAGCCACAACCCCAGCCCTCTAACCCTTTTCATGTTTTATCTTAAGACAGGATTTCACTAAGTTGTTGAAATGGCTTCAAACTTGAGATCCTCCTGCCTCAATCTCCTGTGGTGCTGGGTTTACAGGCATGTGCCACTGTGCTCAGATATGGCTAGATTTTGACCCAAAGTAAGTTCACAGAGCTGATCCCAAGATGGTGAATAAAAGGAGCCTGACCCATTTCAGGTTTGTTTTTTTACTTCTTGTTTCCCTCAATTTCTGCATATGTTAAAAATTGCAGTTTGGCATTCAGACTGGTTTAATGGAAGAAGTCATGCTTTTATATTTGTTCTGTGGCTGAATTCATAGATTCTGAGGCAGACTCTACTTGGAGACTCACCAGATACTAGGTCAGCGGGGAAAGTGATGGGGCAATGCTATAGTCTGGATCTGGAATGTCCCCAGAAGGCCTGTGTTAAAAGACTTGGCCCCCAGGCTGTGTTAGAACCTTTAGGAGGTGGGGCCTAATAGAAGGTAGTTAGGTCATTGGGGTTGTGCCCTCAAAGGGGAAATTGGAACTCCAGCCCCTTCCTTTTTCTCTTTCATTTCCCAGTTGCCACAAAGTGATCACTTTCCTCTGGTGCATGCTCCCACCATGATGTGCTGCTGCCTCATCCCAAGCCCTAATGTGATGGAGCCAATCATCCACGGTTGATTGAAACCTCTGAAAATGTGAGCCAAAATAAACTTTTCTCTTTTTAAGTTGACTTATCTCAGGTTTTGTTTTTTTTTTGTGTGTGTGTGTTTTGTTGTTGTTGTTGTTTATAGAAACCCCAAACTGACTAACACAGGCAAAAATAAGGATTTCTTCTGGAAGTGCTTTGTTCCAGTGAGGAAATTGACTTCACCTTCAATAATACTTTTTGTGTTCTTTTATTTTTACTTGTCATGTGTGTACCATTTTTCAAAAATTGCCATATGGCATTGTCTTTTCAGAAAGTACTAAAATGATATTGGGTAACTTCAAGCTAACCACTGTTAGTCTGGCAATGCAGTGTTCCAGTAAGTTAAATGGACTTTATACTTAAGTGGGGGTAAACTTGTTATGCAACAACACTTCCCAAGTCAAGATTGCTCCCTTAGAATTCAGCATTGCTGTTTGCTCAGTTATCTCAGGTGTGAATTTGTGATGTTTGTCTATGAACCTCAGGCCCTCAATCATGTTCTTGTGGATAAATATATCAGCAAATGAAAATCACTTCTGAGGTCCAATTCTGTTTTTTCCCCCCAAATTTTGCTTATATACATCATACATTCTCCTTTTCCTCCTTCCAACTGTGATTCTTCAGAACCAGGAGAAAGGGGAAGGAAGTTTTAAGTTTTCTGGGTCAGTTTTGACTCCTTAGGACACCAGTCCTGAGAAACATGCTTTAGCAGCATGATGGCACATGCTTATAATTATAGCAGCTCTGGAGGCTGAGGCAGCAGGATGCCAAGTTCAAGGGCAGCCCAGGCAACTTAGCAAGAGCATGTCTCAAAATATCACAACAACAATATGTTAATAATAAGAATGGGCTGGGGATGTAACTTAGTGGTAGAGTTCCCCTGGATTCAACCCCCAGTACCATAAAAGAAAATAAAAAGGAGAAAGAGAAGGAGAAGAATACTTTATCAGGGAGTTTTATAGTTGCATATGTTTGGAAATTCTGTCTTTGAGAGTCACAGTAGAAGAGCACTTGTCTTGCATGTTCAATCCCCAGTAAAACACACACACACACACACACACACACACACACACACAGCTCTGAAATTTGTGCAATAAAGAAATATGTTCAGCCTCAACTCAGCATTTCCTCAAACTTAGGTGATCAGAAAAGATTCTTTTTCTGTTATAGGTGTTAACAAACATAGTAATAAGTGTTCAGTGGGATCCTTTGAAAAATGCTGCTTTTAGCCAAGAGATAAAGTTTACTGTCCTTTACATATAGCACTGGGGGGATATACACATACACATGTGTGTGTGCTTATGTGTGTTTTCCAGTACATTTCCATATATGTAAGTATGTGTAATATATATTAAATACATATGTATACTTACATATACATACACATACACAACATATAATGGCAATGTTTCTACTCTTCAAAATTTTAATTGGCAATAGACTAGGATGATTATAATTATGAAAAGATATACACACACACACACACACTTTTAGTTGCTGATGGACCTTTATTTATTTATTTATTTATTTTTATGCAGTGCTGAGAATCAACCCTAGTGCCTCACACATTCTAGGCAAGTACTTTATTTACTGAGCCACAACCCCAGTCCCGAAAAGATTTTTTTTTTGTGTGTGTGTGTATGTGTGTGTATATGTGTGGTGCTGGGGATTGAACCCAGGGCCCTGTGCATGTGAGGCAAACACTCTACCAACTGAGCTATATCCCCAGCCCCTGAAAAATATTTTTTCAATATTTATTTTTTAGTTGTAGTTGGACACAATACCTTTATTTCATTTATTTATTTTTATATGGTGCTGAGGATCGAACCCAGGGTCTCGCACATGCGAGGTGAGCACTCTACTGCTGAGCCACAGCCCCAACCGGCCCTGAAAAGACTTTTATGGATTAAAAAAAATATATTAGAAGTACAGTGAAATCTCAATTATGATTGTTGGTGATTGGTAGAATGACAGGGGAAGGTTTTTTCTTGTTTTCTATTTTTCCCCCAAATCTTCCACAATGCACATGAATTATTTCTATACTTGGGGTATAAGTCAAAATAAATATATTTTTTTTAAAAAGAATCAATATCCAAAGCTTTTTTTCATTTGTTCTTTTATTTTTACTTGTTTATTTGTATGGGGATTGAGCCCAGGGGTCCTTTACCACTGAGCTATATCCCCAGTTCTATCTTTTTTTTTTTGAGGGGCAGGGTCTGTTAAGTCTTGTTAAGTTGCTAAGGCTGTCTCCACTTGCAATCCTCCCTTCTCAGCCTCCTGAATCACACTAGAATTACAAACATGAACCTCCGAACATGGGTTCTTTTCATTTTTTTAAAAAATACTTTTATTTGTTTATTTATTTATTTTTTATGTGGTACCTGGGAATTGAACCCAGTGCCTCGTGCATGCTAGGCAAGTACTCTACCACTGAGCCACAACCCTGGTCCCTTTTCATTTGTTCTTAAGTGAACATATCTGCTCCATGCTGAGAAGCTCTCAGGTCCATTCTCCCATTCATCCTGGGTTTGCTGAGGTCCCATGGCACTTGTCTTCTAAGGTCCTCCATGGGTGTTCCTGGAGTGCATATAGCCTCTGCAGGTTTAAGAAAAAAGTAGAGCAATTGCCACATGATGTGAGGGTCAGTGTGAGGGAAAGATGTGACCTGATCAAGTCTACCACATCAAGTTGTTCCTGGGTCATGTGTTAAAGAAGGAGAGGATGGTATACAAGTTGGAATTTTTGGTGGCAACCAATGAAAATCTCAAGTGGAAATAAATTTATTAGAAGAGTATTGTATAACTCACAGACTCCATGAGAACCCTGGAGAATGGGTGATGGGAATGAAAAGCAAGGGAGACAAGGTATAGCCAAGATCGAGGAAAGAGCCACAGGGATAATGTGCCTAGGATCCTGCCACCAGTGCTGTCCTGATGAACACTTGTCATCGTTCTGCCACGTCCTAATATGCCTGAACAAGATTGTCATGTTGCAAGACACCCAATACCAGCATGACCACTGCAGGTGACTTCTGTCTCCCCATAGGCACAATGTCCCAGTTGAGTCCAGGTGATAAGCTGGTTTTCTAACTGCTGAAGCAAAGAGGGAAACTGCCCTTTTTGACTTCTAAAGTAGGAAATTGAGTCCTGCCTCCCCTCTTCTCACAGTTCCCTCAAAGGGAAAGGATGTTCAAAGCCTGGATAATCAGAATGACCAGAGTGCCTAACATTTATATCTAGTAGGCTCCCCCTTATTATTATTTGCAGCAGCCCAGAAATATTAAATGGAAAATTCCAGAAATAAATAATCCATACATTTTAAATAACTTTTATTACAGCATTTTGTTATAATTATCCTATTTTATTATGAGTCACTGTTGTTAATCTCTTACTGTGACTAACTTATAACTTAAACTTTACCATAGGTATTTATATATACAGGAAAAAACAGTATGTATAGGATTTGGTGCTATGGTTTCAAGCATCCCCTGGGGTCTTGAAGCAGATTCCCTGTCAATAAAAGAGAACTACTGTACTCTATAAAGGATCAAGGATCTTGGAGAGGAAGGGGCAAAAGCAGGCGACCATGTACAGAAGTGAACTCCCCTCCCCAGAGTGGAATACAGTGTGGTGTTCTTTCAGTTGGATTCCTGAAATGGAAAATGTTCCATTTTCATGTGGTTGAAAATCTACTGCTCACAAGAACTGACCTCTCTTAGTAAAATCCATACTCAATAATAAAATAAGAATTACCATTTTTATCCCCCCTGAGGGACCAGGAGTCAGATGAAGAATGCCCATCCAGCTGTGAGACTGTCTGCAGCTTGCTAACCAAGGGAAGTGAAGGGAAAACAAAATACTTGAAAGATTGTTTTTTTTTTTTTTTTTTTCTCAGAAGAACTTACAGTTTAGGGAAGCTGATTAAATAGATTGATATTACCTCAGAGAAGGGCCGTATAAGTGCAGGGACTGGGAAAGGAGTAGGAAATGTAAACATGGATCTTTTATTGACTTCCTTATTTGGGAATGTAACTTTCTGCTCATAAATGTCCAAACTTCGAGGTTGAATGCAGAGTCCAAATGATGAAATTCAAGGACAGCATTGGTGTCACCGTGGCTGTTGTTGCAGGATGCCAGACACAGACCCTAAACTGGACTATGTAGGAGAAAACTGGTGGGGTTGACTACTTCAGAGTTTGGAGTCTTAGGAGTAGACTGGAAACCAGTGATTAAGATTTGAGAAAAATCCCTTTATTTTGGAACCGATACAGATATGTTCACCTCAGAAAAGTGAGGTACAATTTAAAAACTTCAGGCAGTCTGTGGCTGGGGCTCAGTGGCGGAGCGCTTGCCTTGCACAGATGAGGCACTGGGTTCAATCCTCATCACCACGTAAAAATAAATAAAATAAAGATATTGTGTCCATCTGCAACTAAAAAAATATTTAAAAAAGAACTTTAGGCGATTAACTTTATGTGATCTCTACATTATTACAAAATTTGGCAATGAGTTGCCTCTTGATTGTCAGTATATTTACATAGCTTTCATGGTTACCTGGGGCCTTTTAAGGATCATCAATATATTCATAGGTCCCAGAGGCTTGGGATGCTGAGACAGGAGGATCGCAAGTTCAAAGCCAGCCTCAGCAAAAGCGAGGCTCTAAGCAACTCAGTGAGACCTTGTTCTAAATAAATACAAAATAGAGCTGGGGATGTGGCTTAGTGGTCGAGTGCCCCTGAATTCAATACCTGGTACCCACAACTCCCCCCCCAAAAAAAACCTTTCCCTATGAATACATATATATATCTGTTGGGGGGGAGGTACCAGGGATTGAACCTGAAATATTTTATCCTGGGTTCAAGCAATCTTCCTTCCTCAGCCTCCCAAACAGCTGGAACTGCAGGTATTGTCACTGTACCTGGCTATGGGTACACTTTTTACAAGTTGTGTGACTTTGAAGAAATTACCTAATTGTGTTAGTTGGCTTTCTGTCAGTGTGACAAAATATCTGAGATAATCAACTTAAAAACAGAAAAGGTTTATTTTGTCTTACAATTTCAGAAGTTTTGTTCATGGTTAGTTTGCTCTGCTGTTTTGGGGCCTGTGGTGAGGCAGCACATCATGGCTGGAGTATTGAAAGAACCATAGAGGGCCTGGGTTGTGGCTCAGTGGTGAAGCACTTGCCTAGCATGCATGAGGCACTGGGGTTGGTCCCCAGCATCATATAAAAAGACAAAATAAAGGTATTATGTCCATCTACAACTAAAAAAAAAAAGAAAGAAAAAACCCATAAGAAGAGGTTGTTCACCTCTGGTCAGCCAGGAAGCAAAAAGAGGGGACCCTGGGGTCTCAATATCCCCTTCAAGGGAACACTCCTAAGGACCTGATTTCCTCCAACTAGACCCTCACTTCTTAAAGGTTCCACTACTTCCCAATAACACCACAGGATGGTGACCAAGCCTTTAACAAGTGAGTCTTTGGGGGACATTTCAGATCCAAAGAATACCCCCTAACCTTTGTATGCCTCAGTCTTATCATTTGATAAAGGGACTAGAATATGACTTCAACCAGGTGCAGTGGCATGTGCCTATAATCCCAGCAGTTTGGGACGCTGAAGCAGGAGGATCTCCAGTTCAAAGTTAGCCTCAGCAACTTAGCAAGACCCTGTCTCAAAATAAAACATAAAAAGGGCTGGGGATGTGTTTCAGTGGTAAAGTGCCCCTGGGTTCAATCCCTAGTACAACAAAAAACAGTTTGTGTGTATATATATATATATATTCTCATAGAGTTTTTATGAATATTATATACATTAATTAATATGAAGTGCTTAGTACTTGTCACCTAGTAATTGTAATCAAATAATTGCTTGATAAGCAATTAATCTTCAATATTACTATCGGTATGGGGGGTTACATGTGCCAGAAGGAGGGTAACATTTTCCATCTGCTTTCATAAAACATCCAGATAATAATTCAGATTAAGCTCAGAAAAATAACACAATCATTTACTTTAATCCAACTGAAGTTCGAGCATCTCTGTGGTGGGACTAATTAACTCATCTCAATAATATTAACGAATTGGTGGTGTTAAAATCTTACTGGCAAATGCTTTGTGTCATTGAAGTCCTTCCTAAGCAGCTGAGCAGCATGGTTGAAATGCAACCATCCTGGGTCCTCATATTAACATCCTCTGAAATGGAGTTCTCAAGAATAATGAGTACCATGGTGTCTTTTAGCTGTAGCTGAGGTCTGTCAGTGACCAGGATTTGGGGACAACTTGAGCATTTTATAATGTATGCTTTTAGCTGGATGCAGTGGTTATACCTGTAATCCCAGTGGCTCAGGAGGCTGAGATAGGAGGATTGTAAGTTCAAAGCCATCCTCAACAACTTAGTGAGACCCTGTCTACAAATAAAAAAACAAAGAAGGGCTGAGGATGAGGCTCAGTGGTTAAGTGCCCCTGGGCTCAATTCCTGGTACACAAAAATTAAAAAGTGTGCTTTTATAGAATAAAACTTAGTTCCTTAAGTCCACTGTCCTTCCTTTCCCCTCCCTTTCCTTCCTTCCTCCCTCCCTCCCTCCTTTTCTTCCTTTCCTGGAGATTGAATCCACTTTACCACTGAGCTACATCCGGCCATTTTTTTTTTTTTTTTTGAGACAGGGCCTTACTGAGTTGCTATCCTCCTGCTTCAGTGTCCCTAACAATTGACTTGCATCATAGTTCCCAGCAACTCAGTTGTTTCTCAAACTGGGGTTTGTGGAAAAAAAAATTTTTTTTTTCCTTTCAATATGTTGGTATATTACTGAAATTTGAGGACTGTTGCTGTAGTGGAAAGGGCATTTCCTTTGAAATCAGAACGATCCATCAAATTCTGTCTTCACCCCTTAATTGCTGGACAAGTCACTTGGCCTCTCTGAGCCTCACTTTTGTCATCTGTAAAATAGTGACAATAGCTTTCCACAATCTTGTGATGAAGATGTGTGCACCTCATTTGACAAATATCAGAAGCTCAGTAAAATTATCTCTATTTCACCCATTTTTCTTCTCCCCTAAAACAAGAGGAGAGGACTTAGTTTGCCTTCCTAAAGTAGAGAAGAACTCAGCTGAAATATTTGCTGTAGTTTGAATATGTCTCCCATAGTTCATGTGGTGGAAACATAATCCTCAAATAGCAGTTGAAAAGTGGGGCCTATTAAGAAGCAATTAAAGCATGAGGGCTCTGCCCTTGTGAATGAACTGATGTCATTACCACAGGAGGGAGTTAGACATCATGAGGTTAGGGAAGTGAGTTTGGCTCCCTCTCGTTCACTTGCCTTCTTGTGCTTCTTCCTTCAGCTATGGAATGAAGAAAACCCTAACCAGACGCTGTCCTTGCATCTTGGACTGCCCAGCCTCCAGACTGTGAGCTAAGTGAATTCCTTTCTTACCATTCCTTCCCTTTCTTTCTTTCTCCCCTCTTTCTCTTCTCTTCCTCTTTGTTTTTTTACTTCTTTTTTTCTCTCTCTCCCCTTTCTTCTTTCTCTCTTTCTTTCTTTTACAAATTGTCCAGTCTGTGGTGTTCTGTTACAGCAACACAAAAAAACTACCATAATATTCAAGAGGTTTGTACTGGATGTTCAGTGATTCAGATACAGATAATGTGGCGGGCAGGCTGGATAAAACCTCTCCTGCCCCCAGTAATATCCCTGAAACTTGCGAATGTTATCTTCTATGGCAAAAAAGAACTCTGCAGATGGGATTACATTGTAGATGTGGAGATGGGAGATTATTTGAGTGCTTGCTTATCTCCTCCAAGGACAGCCATTTTTCTGAGAAGTAGTGTTTTAACTTTTGTATCCCTAGTGTCTCATGTAGTGCCTTTCATACTAAAAGTTTCTTTATATGTTATGAACTATGGTTTTAGTTTAGTTTTTTTTTTTATCTAAAAAAAATTCTTATTCCAGTGGGCCCTAAATGCAATCACATTTATCTTATAAGAGGGAGGCAGAGGGACATTTAACAGACAGAAGACAATGGGACTATGGAAACTGATAGCAGTAGCATTGTCACAAACCAAGGATTGCCAGTGTCACAAGAAGCTGTAAAAAGAGTCAAAGACCAGATTCTCCTTTGGAGCCTCAGGAGGAGTGTGGCCTCTGCTGATAACTTTGATTTCAGCCTAATGATACTGACTTCGGACTTCTGGCCTCCAGAACCTTGAGAGAGTATATTTCGGGCCATTCAGTTTATGGCAATTTGTTATAGCAGCCATTGAGAACTAATACAGATCATTGGTTGTGACTCTGTAAAGAAGAACATTGAAATGGAATGGAAACAGATTGTGCCTAAATGCAGAAATTTAAGAACTCCTCAGCAAATATTTAAATTCTGTTGTTTAATTCTCAATTGCAAGGCCAACAGGTGTGTAGAAAGGAAAACTCTTTTTCACAAGGTGAGTTGAGAACTTTAGTGGGCTGTGACTGGCATTTTTTTTTTTTTAAGCGAACTAAATAGAATAAAAAGCCTGACACACCATGTTCTTGGCATTGTCAGCTGCATGCTTTCCACGCTGGCCTATGTGCAGCATTGCTCATGGTCTTTCTTGCCAACTCATTTCTTCTATTGTCATTTCCCCCCTGTCCCCCAAGTACTGAAGATTGAACCCAGGAGTTCTCTACTGAGTGACATCTCCTGACCTTTTTAAAACTTTATTTTGAGACAGGCCTCACTAAATTGTCCAGGCTGGCCTCTAACTTGCAATCCTCTGGTCTCAGCTGCCTGAGTAGATGGGATTCTAGGCATGCTTGAACACACTTACCTATTCTCTTGCCTTTTTTTTTTTTTTTTTGGTACCAGGGATTGAACCCAAAGGTGCTTAACCACTGAGCCACATGCCCAGTCCTTTTTATTTTTTATTTTTGAGACAGGGCTTGTCAAGTTGTTTAGGGCTTCACTGAGTGGCTGAGGCTGGCTTTGAACTTGAGATCCTCCTACCTCATCCTCCCCAGCCACTAGGATTACAGATACGCACCAATGCATCTGGCTGTCTTGCTATTTTTGACTAGATGTTCTCTTACCTCTTTCCACACACCTTGTGCTTTTCTTATGGTTCTTACCACCTTGCTATGGTTCTTGTGGTTCTTACCACTATTGCTTATTCTTTCAGCAAGTACACTTACAGTCCTACTGTGTGTCAGACCCTGGGCTGGGTGGTGGTCCTATTTGAGTGCTTGCTTATCTCCTGCAAGGACAGGCATTTTTCTGAGAAGTAGTGTTTTAACTTTTCTATCCCCAATGTCTCAAGTAGTGCCTTTCATACTAAAAGGTTCTTTATATGTTATGAACCCTGGTTTTAGTTTAGTTTTTTAATCTAAAAAAAATTTTTTTTAGTTGTAGATGGACACAATACCTTTGTTTTATTTATTAATTTTTATGTGGCTCTGAGGATCAAACCCAGTGCCTCACATATGCTAAGAAAGTGCTCTACCACTGAGCAACAACTACAGCCCTGGTTTTAGTTTTTAGAATTATTCTTTTAAACAAATACAAATGGTGGTTGGGAAAAGGTCATATATGTCTGGCCCTGTTAGGCAAAGGACATGACATTGTTTTTGGGAACAGACCTAACAGAGGTAGGTTTTCTAGAAGCTTGGTCATAGAAAGCCTCCATTGGGGGATGTAGCTCAGTGGTTACATGCTTGCCTAGCATGCATGACGTCTTGGGTTCAATCTCCAGTACCATAAAAAAAAAGAAAGAAATCCTCCTTTTGGCCTACTAAATTTTGGTGACCCTCAGCAGAGTTGAACACAACTTTTCTCCTCTACTCTGCAGGTCACTCTCCCACCACAGCATTCAGACCAAGCCAGAGGGAAAATCACCTGACTGATGAAAAAAATGGAAGGAGTGCTTGTGAACCTTGGAGGTGGTCCTAATTGCAAGACCAGCTGGAAAAGATAGCCCCAAATAAATTTCAGTCATACAGGAATTTAAAAGAAAAGGATACCTTCCTTCCCCAATGTGGGATTTTCTGCTAATTTATTGTAACATCATCATGTCCTTAAAGCATCAAACTTGATGGTCAAATTATATTCATCAGTATCTTAGGCAACAACCACATGTGTAAACTACAGACGATGATTTCATTGGTGACTCAATATAATTACACCCTTGCTTGTGAACCCTGTCTTTCTTTCTAGGCATTCAAAACACATGACAGACATTATCTTACTGCTTTTCCCAACACTTTTGTCAGGTAGGTCAGGAGCAGGCATCATGATTGTCTTATTTCACATATACATGGACAGCTTTCCTGGGAATTATTTGTCCAGAGCCCCATTGGTAATAAGAGTAACTGGAAAGAAAATGGCTGGAGTTTTAATTTAAAAAGCAGAACTTCCTGTGGAGGCAACTTTAGGTCACAGTACTGGGATATTTCTAATTTCAGGCATCCTTGGTGCAAGAGGGCACAAAGGGTTAGTTACTTCCCTTTATTTATGGGTGTATGGGGGGAGTAGGGTCACAGATAATTAAACTGCTCCAATCTTGGCACTTCAGCATGTACAGGGAGCTCCATCCAGCATTATATTTTCTTTCCAAGACGACAGTGGCATAGCTCAATAAAGTAGGACCAGCAACAAAAATCTAAAACATCAGTTTGATTGTATGACAATTTTTTTGCTATTGGAAATAATTCCTCTATAGTGATGAAAACTTGTGGAGTTTTGGAGGCCTGAATTCAAGTACTGGTTCTGACGCTAATTAGATCTACAATTTTGAGAGTGCTAGAGACCAAAGCCAGGGCCTCTCTTATGCTAGGTAAGTGCTTTACCACTGAGCTGTACTCTAGCCATTTTGAGAAAGCTTCTTAATTTCTATGGGTCTCATTTTTCTTTTCTTTCTTTAAATTTTATTTTTATTTATTTAGAAATTTTAAAATTACACATTAAAAATGTATACTCACATCTGAGATACCGTATGATGTTTCAATACCTGTACACACACATTTGTAATGTTCAAATCAGGGTAAACATATCTACCTCCACAAATATTTATCATTTCTTTGAGCTGAAACATTTAATATCCTTTCTTCTAGCTTTATTGAAACATACAGTACATTGTGGTTATCTACTGTGCAATAGTACACCAGAACATTTTTTTTTTTCCTATCTAACTGTAACTTAGAACCCCGTCCCTCCCTCTTCCTGGGTCTCATGTAAAACAGGCACAATATTTGCCTTACCCAATGGCTATGCTTATAAAAGGAGACAATATATGTAAAGTGCTTTATAAACAGTAAAATGCCACAGGAAAACAAAGTATTATGAAGATTGGACCACTGAAATTACATGCCTTAAAAATGCAGGTTATATTTTCTTTCAGTGGGGCCTATTTTCAATGGCTTATTGCTGAGAGCCACAGCCGAGTTTATCAATGCAAGGAACATACCTTTCAATCTGTAAATTATTATCTCCCCAGAAAATCAGAAGGAAAGAGAATGAATAGGGGAAAGAATGCCTGTGGCCACAGGTATATCAAAATTTAAAGAATGTGGCAAGCATAGACTCTATTTCTAGGTGGTGGAATTCAAGTTCCTGTACAAGTAGGGGTCAGGAAGTGTGGAAAATAAAGCTTTCCTGTGCTTTCTGGAATATTAGCCCTTTGTCCAGGATCTACAAGGTAAAGAATTCCATAGGAAGTATTTGCTTAATTAATTGTAACCAGAACTTAGCTATGGATAGACCAGATTCCAGTGTGCAGTGATAATGCTTTTTCAATCAAGCTACGTGCATACTTGAACACATGAACAGACCCACAAGATTTGAACTCCTAACCTTGAAAACACAAGGCAGTAACTTTGGCCACCAGGCATCCCTGTTCTTGTTTTCCAGGACTGGAAGTTCTCCATCAGACAGAGCCCCATTTGTTCCATGACCCTAGCTGAATAACACCGAGAAACCAAAAGGAATATCCATTTTAAAATAGTGTCTGTGGCAACAAAAGGATTCTGGAGCTCTGAATCAGCCCCTTACCTCATGGCAAAATTCACAGACTTGCAAAGTTACATGGAAATCAGACTGGAATGTACGGGCTTCTATTTTTCTGTAATGACATGTTGTGAAGAGAAGGAGGGCAATTTTCGTGGACATTCCTCTAAAACCAGTACACTTGCAGTGGTTGTTTTTTGGTTTACAAAAAACGATCCCAAACAGACTCAGGGCCCACTGCCATCACTGGGTGCCAGACTGTAGGCCACATAAGCCATTTGTCCAGGGACTGTAATTAATTATCATTTCTTTCAACTTGGCACGTGTTAATCTCTTCTGCAAGCAGTTTGAAGGTGGACTTTCATCCCTCATTCTTTCTCTTAAGAAATTTAATGAGCACATTGAAAGAATGATTCTCTTAAAATACAACCTTAGACTTTGGCTCTTCCTACAAGTTGAAAGAATTTTGTAAGAAAAAAAAAGAAAGAAAGGAAGGAAGAAATGAAAGAAAGAACTCTCAAGAAATAGGTCTGTTCCTCACATCTGATTGCAAAAAATCCATATACTATGACCCTAAAAGGAAAAATAAACATAGTTCATGAAATCTGTGGCAAAAAGGAATTGAAAGTGTTCTATAAAATAAAAAGTAATAAAATTAAAAATAAAAAGCCCCGAACTGTATTCTCTGTAGGTTTAAAGGCAAACTTTGCCAAAATGTGCTTTCTGGAAACTTTCCTTTAGACCTGGCTCCTACCATCAGGCTTGGCTGTGGGAGAAAGGCTTGGAAGACTATGGTTTGGAATGTGTGAATGTTAAAATCAAACATTGTTCTTTTTTTTTCCATAACAAAACAAGCTTTTGGTTTGGGCTATATATATGCTAGGTTTACTGGTACTGTTTTGGTTCTTTTCTTATCACAGATCTTGATATTTTGTTAAGGTCTGTAAACAAGTCAAAATAACACCTAGTATTTTGCCAGGGAAATGTTAGAGTTTGTAAACAAGTCTGGATGGTGCCTGGCAAAATGCCAGAGGGAGTGGTTTGAAAAGTAACAAAAGTGAGCCATTAAGTGTTGAGATTCCTTATTGGTTGACTGATGTATCTAGTTTATGCTAATTAAGATAAGCTGTGCAAAATGTATAAATAGCTCTGTTGTCCTACAATAAATGGCTCCTATTCCTGCTGTATCAATCTACAGAAGTTATTCGTCACCCCCCGGTTATTCTGCTGCAGCCGGACTCCGGCAATATTTTCAGTTCCTTTTCTTTTGACTACTGCTCTCCCCTTTATTATAATGCCCTTGAGAAGTTAATAGACACCCCCTCCATGCTGAAATGAAGAAATGACCGAGTGAGTAGGAAATGACTCGTGGAAGGCCACACAGCAAGTTGGAAGAAGAATCTGGACTAGAAACTTGGAATTTCTGTGTAAACCTGTAAACCTGTAAACCTGGTTCACAAAGCAAAGTTGTTGTTTTTTTTAAACATTGAGGCCCAAAGATGCCTCAAAGATCCACAGGCATGAGGTGTGACTTAAAACTGGGAGTCAGAAAGACAGTAGAACTACATAGGAAACACTTTAATTAAATAATCATCACCTGGTAAGGCAGAGTTATCACTTAAAATTGTCTGAGCATGAATTATTCTAATTTATAGCATAATTAAGATTGAACAGGCTGGGGCTGGGGCTCAGTGGTAGAGCACTTGCCTAGCACGTTCGAGGCACTGAGTTCAATTCTCAGCACTGCATATAAATAAATAAAATAAAGGTCCAGTGAAAACTAAATAAAAGATTCAATAGGGTAATATTCAGTTAGTTCTCATCTATGTTAAACAAATGA